GATTGGGTTTCTGAACACGTTGAAGGAAACCCCGGGGACATATCCTTCCAGAGCATGGAGGGTTGGTTCCCCCAGAGCTGGGGTTAGTGGGACCTGTGTTATGGAGGGCCTGGAGCCTCAATGCTCAGGCTTCTCTAAGGAGTCTTTCAGGGTGTTTTCCCCCATGAGTACAAGGTGAGGAGCAATTTTGTGGCTCTTGGGAGGAGGGTAAAACAGAAAACCATATCTAGGAGAAGAAAAGGAGAGTTAGGGTAGTGTGCATCGGGGGTAGTGACACAGCTGGCCTGGGGCTGGGACTGTTCCCAGGCTGTTCCCAGTCCTTAACTGTCCTCACTGTACTGGAGGTGCTCATCTGTTTCTTCACCCTGTGGTCGGTGGTGGGGTTAACTGGATTCCACACCTTCCTGGTGGCACTGAATCAGACAACCAATGAAGATGTAAGTAGCATCTGTCTGTTCCTCTGAGCCATCTGTCTCTCGTCACTTCCTCAGCATGTCATGCCTGTGCCCACTTTGCTGATGAGCCCCACAACCTGAGGCCAGGCTCCATGGCTGGGGGCTGGTGCTGGTGGAGCAAACCTGAGCTTGTGCCCTGACTGTTGCAGATCAAGGGGTCCTGGACTGGGAAGAACCGTGTGCAGAATCCCTACAGCCATGGTAACATAGTGAAGAACTGCTGTGAGGTGCTCTGTGGGCCCCTGCCCCCCAGGTAAGCTCTCAAAGGGCAGCCCTGCCATTTTTACCCCAGAGCCAAGTGCGGGACTGTGAGGAGCTCTCTTTGCTTGGGTACAAGGCCTGGCTCTTCTGCCAGTACAATGTGTGTTGTGAGCTTCTAGAGATCTGCTGGGACATGGCTGGATGCTCTGGGGAGGAAGGTCTTGTGTTACCTTCCTTGCATATTTTCCATGATTCAAGCTTGTGATGTGCTTCCAACCACCATGTGCTCGGGAAGCCCGTGGAGGAGTGGCTGCCCTTCGCTGGAGCAGCATGTGAAGCGGGGGCTCTTTCCAGGTCACTCATTTTGGTAGTCCCACACTCAGAGCTGGGCTGCTCTCCAGGGCCTTGGTTTTCATGGGAGGAACATAGCCCAAGCCTAGTCTGTGCACAGCCTGTTTTGGAGAGGGTCCCTTCCCTTGATGTTTGTCTTCCACCAGCACTTTTCCTGCAGGAGAAGTCTGCTCCAGGGCAGGCATGGGTCTGACGGGGTGGTTGTGTCCTTGCAGCGTCCTGGACAGACGGGGCATCTTGCAGCAGGAGGAGAGCACAGCACAGGTGGAGTCATGCCCACGGGGGCCCAGCGCTGCTCCGGGCACCGAGGAACAGACGGAGGGGAGCAGGGTGCCGCAGGAGGATGGGAGTCTTCCTCACGCCAATGCTGGGAGCGAGGCCTCTGTGCGCAGGGTGAGTGGGTCGCTGCTGCTGCTGTGGGCCAGAAGGGAGAAGCTGATGGTATGACTCGGCAGGAGCAAAGCAACACTTGGGGCATTGTGGGGAGGCTGCCCACCAAAAGCTGTTGTGCTCTGTGCGGGAAAGCAGCTGCTCTTGATTTACTCAAAGGAAATCACTGGCTGCGGTTTTGGAGACGTCAGTCCTGCAGTGAGAGCATCCGGGAGCTGGCACCTATGGAGGCTGGGAGGCATTGAGCAGGGCTGGGAGGCTGCAGCCATCTTGTTTTGGCACTGAGTGGAAGCTGAAGTGCTGTCCCTGGGAAGGGCCCTGACAGGTCTGGGATCTCCATCCTTGGAGAAAGCCATTGCCCCACAGGCTGTGGCCCCGAGCAGCTTGCTCTTTGACATTAGCCCTGCTTTAAGGGTAGGGCTGGACAGGAGACCTCCAGAGTGCCCTTCCCACTATTCCATGAACACAATGGGAAATGACTGGGCCTACTCCTGCTTGGGCATGAGCTGCTGTTTCTCTGGTAGAAGCAGCCTGGACCACTTCTGATAGAGCGTTCTATTGCCCCAGAACTCCGTGAAGCTGCTGTTTTGCCTGTTTGGTGACCCCCGGTTTCTCCTTTCCCCAAGCAAAGCTGAGACCTCTGCCTGGTGGAGCAGAGGCAGTGGGGCTGTGTCTGTATGCTCAGACAGATGCTCTGCATGGGGGTGTGTTCATGCAAGTCACTGCTGTCTTCTCTCTGCAGGTCCCTGCACCACCCCTGAGCCATGCCGAGATGCCAGAGGAGAAGCAGCTAACTTCTGGGGAGCTCCCAGTCCCACCCCCGGACGCTGGGCAAGCAGAGCACTAGCATCTGCTTGAAGGGGAGAACTTTCTTGTTTTGTCTAATCAAAGCTGGAGGTGATGGAGGAGAGGAGGAGATGGGCTGGATGCCAGGCAAACAATTCCTCATGGCTGCTTTGCTGTAGTCTTTATTCGTGGCTCTGGCCTCACGTGGTGGCAAAGAATCCAAAGTGGGAGTCTCAGTCCCCACGGGGCCAGGCAGCTGCAGGCCGGGGCAGGACCTCTTGCTCTGCAGGTTGTCCTGAGGCTAAGTACTGGCTGTCCCTCCACCTGACGAGACGGCTCATGGTCGAGACGGCTCGTGGTCAAGCAGCTCGGAAGTGACGTTAGGGTCGGCCTGCTCCCTACTGCTGAGGAATCCTGGTGAGAAGGGGAAAGCAAGACATGGCAGTAGCTTCCTCTCTCCCCTCCTCCCTTCTTCCTCTATTCTGTGGCATTGTTTTGTTGGTTAACGTGACAAGGGTTGTCAGGAGACAGTTTGGTGCCAAAAGGGCCAAGGTAACGGGGAAGGTGTTCTGCTGGCAGTGATTTTGAAGTAGCTTCCTTCCCATGCTCCTTTCCATGTGACTTAAGCTTGTGTGAGAGCGGTGGTAGAGGGCAGGGGCCCCCTTCCTGTCCTTCCTGGGGATCACCCCCAACCAGAAGCTCTCAGGATGAGTGGGGCAGCCCCATCTTCCTGCGTGTGTCTGGCCGCAGAGCGGTTGGTGACTCCCGCTGGAGGAGGCTCTGCCTGGCCGCTGGCTCCCTGCCTGGTGCCGGGGCTGCCATTGCTGCTGGGTGCAGAGTGCCCTCCTCTTGCAGGCCAGGCTGTAGCTGCTGCTCTGCAGAACCTCAGCCCTGATTCTGTGTCATGTCGTTGTGTCCCTGTGTCCCCACTGCCTTGCCCTGTGTTCCTCAGCCATCCTCAACTGGTGTTTGGCACAGGAGGGAGCAGAGGCCTGGGCCGCGCAGTAGCAGGGGGCCTCTGTGCCCTGCCAGGGCTCCTCTTCCCCCCGACAATCCTGTTCTGTGCTGGGCAGCCGGGCTGGGAAGCGCCTCAGGGCTGTGGGGTCCATGGTGATGGAGGGAGTGCCGTTGGTGCCCTGGCAGCTCTGGGCATGTCTGTGCCTCCTGTGGGCGTGTGCTGAGCCCCTGGGATGCTCCTGCCTGGCAGCATGAAGCTGCTGCTCCTCCTCCCCTGCCCTCATATTCTGACCGGCTTTCAGCAGTGGCAGCAGGTGATGCGGGAGACGGGTCCCTCGGAGCATGCTGCATGACTCCCACCCCTCGCGGTGCTGAGCTGGCCGTGCCTGGCAGCGGATGAAGTGGTGTGAATGGAGTGACTGGTGCTGCCTGCTCTCCCTTCACACCAGGGCCTCCTCTCCCTGGTGAGGGCAGAGCTGCTGCCAGGGACTCTGGTGGTGGGTTCAGCAGCTCCTTCATTCAGCAGCTCCCCGTTGCTGGGTGCCCGCTCACAGCTGCTGCCCCCTGCACACCCCAGCCATGGGAGCTGCCCCCTCCTCTCCCATGCTACTGCCCCAGCCCAGAGCTCGCTGTGGAGAGGTGCAGGGTTGGGTTTGAAAGGCTGGGTGCTGGCACTGCCTGCATGTGGGGTTGTGCCTGCTCCAGTAGGGAAGGGCACGGGGCTGGGTGAGGGCTGGGCTTGCTCTGGTTTGGTTTCTTCTTTTTTTAATTTTAAGACAATGAAGAAAAACTAACTGGTTTGAAAACTGGCCAAGCTGCAGCCTCTGCCTCTTTGTGCCTCCCCAAGCTCCCTGCTTCCCCCTTCCCTGTGGCTTTCCAGCCTCTACATCTTGCACTTCCAAGGTGTTTTATCCGTGTCACCTTGTTTGCAGCCTGCTGTCCCCCATGGCAGGTGAGGGGTCTCAGTGCACAGGTGATGCCGCCCAGGCCGAGCAGTGACACAGCCCAGGGAGCACCCTGGCCAGCTCTGTGTTACCTGTGGACACTGCCCCATTCCCCAGCCCCAGCCTTCCTGCGTGCACGAAGCTGAAGGCTGGAGTAAAAGGGACTTGCAAACTTTTATTGGGATAAAGCGCTGGAGCTGGAGTTTCTCGTGTGCAGCAGCAAGAGCTGGGCTGAGAGGCCTGGGATCGGCCCCTGAGCTGAGCACAGCCTGATGATGGCTGCAGGCTGCCCCACGCTCCCGTATGGATGCCAGCCTCTTCCTGCTCTTGCTGCCCTCACCGGCTCCTGCCTGCGCATGGGGGCCCTGGCTGGGCTGCAGCTCCCGTGCCCCTGCACGGGGCTGCTTGGGGGGATCTGGCACTCTGGAAGGGGCTGTTCTGCTGATGACAGCAGGGTGCTCGTGGTCACCCCAGCTCCCTCCTGTATCTCCCCTGGGCCTGCTCGCAGGGCTGGGTTTGCAAGCTGTGATCAGGGCTCCCCTGGAACCGATGAAGGGGGTGCAGTGCCCTTCCTGGGCTGCTTTCAGCTCTGCTGAACCTCTCCCTGCAGCCCAGGCTTCCCAGCAAACCCTGCCCTGGCTGTGCGAGGAGCCTGCTGGGGGAGGGCGTGGAGCTGCCAGCATAGAGCCGGGCTCAGTGGGACTCCCGTGCCCTCACATGTGGCTGCTCAGGGCTGGGGTTGCTGCTGTGGGACTCCCCTGCCCTCGCAGGCTCCTGCAGGCTCATCCAGCTCCAGGAGCTGTGGGGCAACATGCCGGGGCAGCAGAGCAGGGCAGAATGTCCTGGGGGCAGCAAATGGGGCAGCCTCGGGGCCAAGGACTGAGCTGCCTGCAGCCCTGCCATGGGGTCCCATTGCTCAGGGGGACTCTGCCAGGGACAGAGCCTGCAGCTGCCCCTCGGGATTCCCCAGCTCGGCCGCGTCCCGGCTCCCATCCAGGGTCTCGGATCCCTCGAAGCAGCCCGAGTCCCGGGGAATGTCCTCTTTGGGCTCAGAGGGTGATGGCTGGGCCTCGGAGCTGTTGCCTTCCTCTGGCTCACTGGCTGCTGGGGAGATGGGACAGTGTTAGGGCAGGGCTGGTGCTGCTGGGGCTGCCTGGCACCGGGGTGGCTTCTGCCCCTTCCCTTGGCTCTTACTGTCGTAATCCAGGAGGAGGTCTGCAGCCGTGAGCAGCTTGGCGCGGTGCTGGGGGTCTGTGATGTTCAGCTCATTGAGGTGGGTCTCCCGCAGCTCCTTGAAGTCCTCTAGGGTCTGGTACCCATTCAGCAGCAGGGTGGAGATGTGCTCCTGTGGCAGCACAGCATGGGCTGAGCGTGGCACAGCTCCCAGCTCACTCTGACTCACGGCTCTCTCTGCCTGGCCCTTGGTGCTGCCCGCACGACTCCTGCCTTGGCACAGGACCACTGCGGCACTTGCCCGAGCACCAGCCAGAGGATCCCTCTGTGTGTGCCCCAGTGGTGCTTGGGCACAGGGTCAGGGACCCGCGGGGATGTGGGGACAGTGAAGGGCTTCTCGGAAGCAGAGGGGAGCATGATCCTGCTGCAGCCCTGCAGCCGCTGTCCCTTACCTGCAGGTTGATGCGCTCCAGCAGCTCATGTAGCGTCTTGGGCTTGAGCCGCTTGCTCTGGCCGGGGCTCCGGCTCTTGCGGGCAGGAGCTGCCTCCTCAGGGATGACGTCCACATAGATGAACTTGAAGGAGCCCACCCTGTTGTTGAGCAGCCCAGTCCAGGTGCCCACAGGTGGCTTCTCGATGATGCCGATGATGTCCCCTTTCTGTGCAGGGGGAAGTGGGTGTGAGGGTGGGCGCAGATCGCGGATGGCTGGAGAGCATCCTCCCTAAGGGGGTCCCTGCCCCTGCCCTCCAGCTCCCACCCTGGGGCCGCTCACCCGCAGCTTGAGTGAGTCCCTGTCATAGGGGCTGGGTGTGAAGTCAGTGTGGACGCGGGCCCGGCCACAGAAGGGGCCGGTGTAGGCTGTGCCAGGGCTGCCCTGCTGCTGGCTCCTGCGGCCGGACCCCTCGCTGCCCATGGAGTGGACGGGGCCAAGGCTGTGCCCAGCCAGTGCTGCACTAGAGCCAGGCTCACTGCTGAGGGGTGGCTGCTCATCCTCCTCCATCTCCACGTATCGCACCAGCATCTTCTCATGGCTTGGCTCCTCTGTGCTGCCGGCTGGGGACAGAGGGCACAGGGGCCCCTCCTCCTCCTCCTCCACGTCTCCCTGCTGGGGGGGACCAGGCTCAGGCCAAGGCAGGAGGAGCTGCACTCCCGCCCAGGGCCCCGCTCACCTTCCCCTCAGCCAGTGCCTTCACGGCCATCCTGCCCATCTTGCGGTTCATGGTGCGGGAGATGACTGCTCGCCACTTCTTGCTCAGCTTCATCCCACTGCTCCGTGCAGCATCATCGGGGCTGGCACTGCTGGACTCATCCCTGGGGATCTGACAGAGGGATGGAGAGTGAAGGCAGAGCCCTTGCCCCCCATCCCCGCCCCAGGTGAAACTCAGATGGGTCACACAGGGCTGCAAAACCCCAAATCCTGCCAGTGCTGGAAGCCTTGGGGCTGCTGCACGACATCGGGTCACTGGCAGGACCAGGGTTTTGGGGTAGGATGCTGTGAGCAGGGCTGTGCCCAGTGGGAATGGAACGTGGCAAGGGACTCACCTTCTCCTCCAGGTTGAACTCGTTCTCGCTCAGCACAGGAGAGCTGACTTTGGCCTTGGCAAAGTCCTTGAAGCTGCTGGAGCGCTGGAGGGAGAGCTAGAGGGGAATGGGGACGGGAGGAGTGAGGGATCCCCCCAGCCAGCTCCCACCATCCCCTCCACAGCCGGGACCTAGCCGTGCCCAGGGCACTGCTGGTGCTTGAAGGGGTTTTGGCTGGCACAACATCTCCCTTCCTGCTGTGCCCCAAGAGCTGCTGGCGGTTTTGAGCCCCTGGGATGCGGGATGCAGCACCCAGCACTGCTCATGGTGCGCGTGTGGCTGCTTGGCACAGCTAAAGGCTGTTCTCGGCTCTTGAGGGCATCAGTGCTGCCGTGCCCATGCCCTCATCTCCAGCTTCATCCCCCAAAGCTGCCCACGTTTTCTGCCTGCGAGCATCATCCCACTCCCCGCCAGCATTGCCAGTAACCTCGGTCCCGCCTTTGTGCCAAAGCTGGCAAAGCGGGATTCAGATGTCAGCCCTGGTGCAACCCTCCCTCACTGCCTCTTCCGCCCTGCCTTGGCTCCGCTCCCCTCCATGTCTCCAGGTGCCTGCCCCATGTGGGAAGGGGTTCTCTGTGCCGGGAGCAGTGCCGGGGCCGGGTGCCCTCATCCCCGGGGGCCCAGCACCGGCTGCCAGCCCTCGGGAGCAAGCTGCGCTCCGCTCGGAGCTCACACAACAGAGCTGCTCTCGGCTCGACCGCAAGCGCAGCAATTTCCTTTCTGGGTCGCTCTGCCTGCGCCGGAGGCCTCGCTCAGTCCCTGCCCAAGCACAGCCCCTCCTCCTCCTCCTCCTCCTCCTCCTCCTCCCCCTTTTCATCGGCTCCGCCGAGCATCCTTTGTTACTTCTTTTTCTCGTTTTCTTCTGGAGGGCTGGCTCGGATGAGCGAGACCCGGCTCCATCGCCGCCGTGGCTGCAGAGCCAGCCCAGCCTGTGCATCATGCGCAGGAAATGGTGCTGGTTTGCCCTGCTCCCCCCAGCACCCTGAGGCAAACTGAACCCCTTGGGTCTCTCTGTGCCCTTCAGATAACGCAGCTCAATGCACCGTGTTCCCCCCAGCCCTGGGCCTGGAGCTGGGGAGTGGGAGCAGCTGTGGAGAGCCCAGCAGCGGGGCCATGGAGCTGGGACATGGCAGCGAGGGGGAAGTGGGAGCAGTGGCTGCGCCTGGGCAAGGACAGGGGATGCCTGTGGGGCCACCCCAGCACCCGGATGGGACCTTCACTCAGATATCCCCAGGGAGCTTCCCAGCATGGAGGAGCCACCCTGGAGTGGGATGGATGCTGCCCACCGGCAGCATCCCATGGGCAGGACCACAGCACCAGCTGCTCTCCACCACTCCCCTCTGGAGCTTGCTGTTTCCAACACCAGCCCACCACAGCCTGGTGAGAGCTGAAGCATCGGCTGGTGCCAGATCCGAGCGGCTGGCCATGGCCCCCAGCCGGTGGCTCCAGGTGGAGTGGTGCAGGGTGACACATGGCCCTGCTGTGCCGGGGATCTGAGAGACCGCGGTGCTGGTGCCGGTGCTGCTAGTGGTCCTGGTGCTTGGTGCAGTGCTGCCGGAGGCAGTGGCCAATGCACATGACGAGCTGCAGCACCATGCTGCCTTTGCCGCAGACACCTCGGGGGCCAGCCCAGCAGCCCTCCCCACAGGAAACGCTGCTCATACTCCAGGGATTGGGAGCTCTGCCCCCCAGCAGCACCCCCGTGGTTCCCACCGGCACCCTCCATTGCTCCCATGCCAATACCAAGGGTCTGTGCATCCCGGCCGTGCATCCCACCATGCTGCAAATGGGAGCAGGGCACTGGCCAAGTCCAGGACCACGCACATGTGAGGCCACGGTGGCCATCACTGAGGTCTGGCTCTGCCCCACGCCTGTCCCAGCCCCACAGCACCAGCACTCCCTGCCCAGCATCCCATGGGCAGCCCAGGCTCTGCTGGCGCAGGGCATGCAGGAGCACCCAGGAGTGCCAAGGGCAGCCATGCCGCTGGCGCTCACCTTCCTGTGTCCTGGCTCCTTGTCACCGGCGTTGGAGGGCTTGCGGCGCAGCATGGTGCTGTCCCGGGGGCAGGGGCACAGCGCTCGGGCAGCGCCTGGCACAGCACAGCCCGGAGCACCGGCACCAGGGCCCAGAGGCACACAGGAAGCTGCCGATCACATGAGAGGTGCTCGCTGCACAGTGGGTGCGCAGGCAGGGTGTGCAGGAGGAAGGAAACCCTGCACGGAGCTGCTGCCCCGGCCGGGGCCCCAGTGTGGGGCAAGGCCTGCGCCCTGCCACCCCCCGGTGGTGCTGTTGGTGGGCTCTGCGTCCCACATGCAAATGATGAAGGTCCCCAGACCTCTTCACCATACCCACTTGGGCCACACCACGGCCAAGCCTGACGTGTGGCACTTGGTCCAGGCTGTTCCCTGCATTCACAGGTCCTCCCAGATGGGAACCAGTCCCAGATGGAATGTGCACATCAGCAGCGTGCTGCTGGCACCTGCAGGGCAGCGGGGATGGCTCCCTCAGCACCTTCTTGCTCCACTCCCTCCATCTCCTGTCCCAGGAGTCTGAACCCGCCCTCATCCTCCCTCCCTGCTGACTTGGCTGCCCCATGGCAGGGGCATGTGCCCCATGGCAGGGGCAGCCAGCATGGCAGGATCACAGGAGTGGGGCTGGCCTCAGCCTCATGAAGGTGGGCACACGGGCTGTCAGCATGGACCAGAGCGCAGCAGTGCACAGGCACCACCCGACATCACTCGTGTTTAATCACCACCATGCAAGAGAAGACACCAGGAGAAAGGGAAGTGAGCTGCTGCAGGAGGGGACCAGCGCAGGGCCGTCAGAGCGGCCTCAGGCCTGCAGCCCTGGGAGCAGAGCAGACAGGAGCATGGTGAGGGCCTGCATGCACGTGGTGCTGGTGTCAGTGGTTGCAGCAGCTCTGCCCAGCGGGAAGGGCTCGGTGCTCCTCTGCAGCCAGTCGTACTCCTCCTGCAGCTGCTGCCGCTGCAGCTCCTGCCCCACGTGCGCCCGGATGCTCTCGTAGTAGGTGTTCAGGTAGTGGACCTGCAGCCAGGCACCACAGGGGCTGCGGGGGCTGCAGGGGCTGCTCCGGCCAACTGCCCCCTCGCAGTGCGTCTGGATACCCCACATCCCATCTGCAGCACCAGCCCCACCTGCAAACCCCATTTCTCTTCTCCATCCATGTATCCACTCCTGCCACAGCCCCATTTACCCACCCCAATCTCCCCGTTTCCCACTACATCCATCCTGCAGTCCCCTTTACCCGTGCCATACCTCAGCCCCGTGTTCCTGCTCTGCCCTCCTGCCACAAACACCCTGTACCTGCTCTGGAGACAGGAGGCTGATGTCGATTAGGTTGCGGTCGTAGGGCACCAGGGACACCACCTCAAAGGTCAGGAAGGGCTTCTCCCCACTCCGGTGCTGTGCAGAGAGGTGGTGTTGAGTGCCCCCAGCCCTGCCTTGGTGCCCCCAGCGCTGTGCCACCCCCATGCCGGCCCCATTGCAGCACCTCGGTCTGCGCCTCCACCACGAGGGCGATGTCCTCAATGCGGATTCCGAACTCACCGTCCTGGTAGTACCCAGGCTCTGGGGGCCGGAAGGGGGCCTGGTGAGAGCTGAGCCCTGGCAGCTCCCTCGGTCCAGCCCTGAGAGGGTCTGAGCATGGACACGTCCTGTGCAGAGCCCAGAGCACCTTTGGGCATGGGGCACGTACCGATGGAGGTGAACATTCCGGCCGTCAGGGGCACGTTGTTGGACTGGAAGCCCACAGGCCCTGCAGGAGACATGGGGTGGTTACAGCTCCTGGGGACGGGGTGTGCTGTGGGGACACCCTGGCAAGGACCAAGCTGTCACACTGGTGAGGACAATGATGTGGCTGCCACCACAAGGACCACGGAGCCACCCTGGCAAGGATGTCTGAGGCTTAGAGCAGCCCCAGATAAGCCCCTGTCCTCATCCCTGTTCCCCCCATGTCCACACCACTGGTGCTCACGCTCCAGTACCTACATTCATGGACTGAGAGGAAGTTGCCGATGCCATGGCCGGTCCCATGGCCGTAGTTGAGGCCCACTTCCCAGAGTGGCCGGCGGGCGAAGGACTCTATGACTCTCCCTGTAATGACAATGTGGAATGGGGGCGTGTGCTGATGGGGACTCCCCCATCCTCATCATCCTCATGTCCAGACGGCCTGGGCACGGCCGGGCTGCCCAGCTTCTGGCTCAGCACCTACCGGCCGTGTTGGGTGGGAAGACAAGGCGGGACAGGTCGATGTTGCCCATGAGCACCCGGGTGTAGGCTTCCTGCGGGGGGCACAGCAGGGGCTGAGCATCACAGTGTCCAGACCCTCCCCGCTAGCACATCCAGCCCTGGCTGGGACATTGGGGCTGGGCACCAGGGAGGGATCCTTTCTGGTACCTTCTGGAGTGGGGTCGGCATCCCCCAGTGCACCGTCCGTGTGATGTCTGTCGTCCCGTCCCTGCAAGGGCACGGATGTGATGGGGGTGATGCAGTCCCTGCGCTGGCTTTGGGGCCCCTGGCACCACCCTGCGCTGGGGGCATGGGGATGGATGGGGATGCAGATCTGGAACACGTACAGGTATTGCCCTCCTGTGTCCGCGAGGTACATCTCATCCACAGAGAGCTGCCGGCTGCTCCTGTTGGAGGGGCTGTGAAGAGAAGGGGGTCAGAGCTCTCTGTTCCAGCTGCCCCCACCACGCTGCTGCTGCCAGCCCTGGTACCTGTAGTGTGCCAGGGCGGCATTGAGCCCGCTGGCAGAGATGGACTGGAAGCTGGGCCCACAGCTGTGCTCCTGTGCCCTGGAAGGTGGCAGGGAGGGTGGTGCTGCAGGTCCCCGGGTGCCTCACACCGGGCAGGGGGGGCCGTGGCCGCAGCACTGACTGGCGGAGCGCGTCGATGCGCTGAGCCCCCGAGAACTCGTCCACCTCCCCCCGTGGGACCGTCTTCTCCAGCCACAGCAGGTACTGGATCACAGCCACCGCGTCCCGGACCTGGGCATCAGTGAGGGGACATTGGCACCCGCTTGCCCCCACCTCTCGGGGCTGCGGGGAAGGGAACAGCCCTTACATGAGCGGCTCGCAGCAGGTCTTGCTCTCTGGTGTTTTTCACAGCCTTGGCCAGCATGACGGGGGAGTAGCTGTCCGCCAGGAGCTTCTCCTGCAGGAGCAGGCTGCGGTCGCACCAGCTCCCCGTACCCCAGGGACGGCCGCGGTGCATCCCCACGGCTCGGTGGCACGGGACCACCCCTGAGCCGGGCAGCATCCCCATCACCCATGGCCGGACTCACTGGCGCTGACACGGCGGGCACACGGCCCTGACCCACCTGAGGGATGAGGCTGTAGAGGCCGTACGTGGTGTACTCGGTGCCCAGCCACACGGTGACGTTGCCCTGCACGTACTGGCGGAGGTGATCCGGTGCCTGCTCGTACTCCTGCAGCTCCACGCAGAGCGGCCCCGGGCAGCCGGCCCGCAGGGAGCTCCGCGCAGCCGCTGCCAGCCGCCGCTCCCCCACGAACAGGCTGGTGACGGGTGGATAGGGGGGACACCGAGGGGACACCCTGGTCCCCCCCGAACTGGCCGTGTGGGACACGCTGGGGGGCTCATAGGGGACACTGGGCTGGGAAAGGGGGGTGCTGCACCCCAGAGGGGGCTGAGATGGGGGCCTTGACCTGGGGCTTCGAGGGGACAGTCAGTGGGGCTGGGGGCTGCAGGATGTGGTGGGCTCTGGGGAAAGCAGAGCTGGTCTGAGGGGAGGGTCCCATGGGTGCTGCAAGGGAAGGAGGGTGGGTGCTGAGCCCTGTCCATGTCCTGTGCTTGCAGGGTGATGTTGCCCACCTTATGCTCATGTTGGTCAGCAGGGTGTAGGAGTAGAAGACAGGGTTGTAGGGGATGTCATTGCCACGGAGGTTGAAGAGCCCTGATGAGAATGAGACCTCCAAGCCCCCACCCGCTGGCTGCCCTCCCACCCCCAGGGCTCAGAGCCCACAGCACCCATCACAAAACTTGCCACAGCACTCACCATAGCACCCACCATGGCACCCACCACAAAACCCACCACAGCACCAGCCACGGCACCCACAACAGCACCACCATGGGACCCACACAGCACCCACCATGGCACCCACCATAGAACTCACCACAAAACCCGCCACAGCACCCACTACGGGACCCACACAGCACCCACCATTGCACCCACCATGGCACCCACAGAGCACCCACCATGGCACCCACCATGGCACCAACCATGGCACCCACCACTGCACCCATCACAGCACCTACACAGCACCCACCACGGAACTCACCACAGCACCCACCATGGTGCCAACCACTGCACCCCTCATGTCACCCACTGTAGAACCCACCAGGACACCCATCATGGCACTGCGGCTACTCACAGGCCGTCTCTTCCAGCCCCGACAGCAGCACGGCTGTGGGGTGCCGGACATGCTGCTCCATCTCCTGACGGATCCGGGCCACCTTCTCCTGCCAGCTGCTCCCTGGAACGGGAGGGAGCGTCTCAGCGCAGTTACCCACGGCCCGGGGGCCCAGCACAGCCCAGCAGCTCCGGTGCTCGGTGCTCATACCGGTGAACTCCTCCGGGAGGCTGTAGATCTCGTTGGAGGCTGCTGCGGGTCTCTGGTCACCCCACACTTGGTCCACCAGGTTGGTCTCGGTGGGGACCAGGATCCTGCCAGAGCCTTGCAGGGCTTGTCTGTAGCTGTTCCAGGTGTCTGAGGGGGGAGCAGCCCGTGGTGGGCTCAAATCCACACCTGAGAGCTGCCCGAATGTGGGCAGGGTCACCCCATCCCTACCGATGGAGAAGAGGAAGGGGTCCAGGCTGATGTTCCCCCCAACGGGAACCGCTTCCAGGATCCACATCCCGATGGACTCAATCCAAGCTGCAGGAGGGAGGCAGGTAACACCAGAGGAGGCTGGGGGCTCCTGGGGTTCAGGGGAGCAGCAGCCCCAGGCTGCCCCCACTGACTTGTCCTCTGCAGCTCCCAGTTGCAGTCCAGCTGCCGCTCTGCCTGTGTCCAGTACCGGCTGTCGGTCCACAGTGCAGCCTTGTCCTGTGTCACCACGCCAGTGCCTGCAACAAGAGTGGGGCTCAGGTGTCACCTGTGCCCCTTCTACAGGCAGATGTTGGGACCCCCAGAGATCCCCAGCCCAACCTCTGGTGTGGAGTGGGATTGTCACAGAACCACAGACTGGGTTGGGTTGGAACAGACCTTAAAGCTCATTCAGTCCCAACCCCTGCCACGGGCAGGGACCCCTTCCACTAGAGCAGCTTGCTCCAAGCCCCTGTGTCCAGCCTGGCCTTGAACACTGCCAGGGATGGGGCAGCCACAGCTTCTCTGGGCACCCTGGGCCAGCGCCTCAGCACCC